ACTGTTGGGCTCAGATGCTTTTAGTGCTCCTGCACACGTGGGGACAACGGGGACACCGGGGGTCCTTCCCACCCCCATCCCATAAGGATGGAGGACAGCCTGGGGGTCCCCTGTTGTCCTGATCCCTGTCCCATGGGTTTGGGGACAACGGGGACCCCCAGGGGTCTCTCCCACCCCATAGACTTAGGGATGAAGGAAACCCCACCCCACAGAGTCAGGCATCCCTTCCATCCCTGCCCTATGGCTTTGGGGACCCCCAGTTGTCCCTCCCACCCCAATCCCATCAGGTTTGGGGACAACAGGGTCTTTTCCACCCCCATCCCATAAGGACAAAGGGGATCCTGAGGGTCCCCATCCCTGTCCTATGGGTTTGGGACCCCAGGGGTCTCTCCCACCCCCACCCCATAGACTTAGGGTTGAAGAGAACCCCCAGTTGTCCCTCCCACGCCAATCCTATGGGGTTTGGGGACAACAAGGACCCCTAGGATCTCTCCCACCGCCATCCCATAGACTCAGGGATGAAGGGAAGCCCCATTTGTCCCTCCCACCCCCACCCCATGAGGCTGAAGGTGATCCTGAGGGTCTCCCCTTGTCCCCATCCCTGTCCTATGGGTTTGAGGACCCCAGTTGTCCCTCCCACCCCCATCCCATAAGGATGATGGAGATCCTGAGGGTCCCCCCTTGTCGCCTTCCTTGTCCTATAGGTTTGAGGACCCCAGGGGTCCCTCCCACAGCCACCCCATAGACTTAGGGATGAAGGAAACCCACCCCACAGAGTCAGGCATCCCTCCCATCCCTGTCCTATGGGTTTGGAGACCCCCAGTTGTCCCTCCCCCCCCAATCCCATGGGCTTTGGGAACCCACAGGGGTCTCTCCCACCCCCATCCCATAAGGACGAAGGGGATCCTGAGGTTCCCCATCCCTGTCCTATGGGTTTGAGGACCCCAGCTGTCCCTCCCACCCCCATCCCATAAGGATGATGGGGATCCTGAGGGTCCCCCCTTGTTGCCTTCCTTGTCCTATAGGTTTGGGGACCCCCAGGGGTCTCTCCCACCCCCACCCCATAGACTCAGGGTTGAAGGGAACCCCCAGTTGTCCCTCCCACCCCCACCCCATAAGGCTGAAAGTGATCCTGAAGGTCTCCCCTTGTCCCCACCCCCATCCTATGGGTTTGAGGACCCCAGTTGTCCCCCCTCCCCCAATCCCATGTGCTTTGGGGACAACAAGGACCCCCTCACCCCCTCCCCACCGTCTCTCCCCCCCTCCCCCCCCCCCTCAATGCCCGCAGCCTCCCCAGCAGCGGATGACGCAGGGCGTAGCGCCTCCCCCCCCAGACAAAATGTGTCGGGGCCGCCCCCCCCGCCCCGTACTCAAAGCCCTCCCCCCATTCCTCCACCAAAGCCGACTTCACCAACCCCACCCCTCCTCCCCCCTCGGGTCCCGGATGATACAACCTCCCGTTTTCGGGATCGAAAGTCAACAGCTCGGGTTGAAACGGGATGGCCAAACGAGCCCCGCCTCCGCAGTACGACAGCAGCGACCCGACCGCCTTTTCACCTTCCAGGACCCGAGTGAAGACGATGGGAAGGTCCTGGCAGCGCACGAAGTTGTGCTCGGCTCCGCAGGGGGACAGGAAGGGGAAGGAATCCTCGTAGCGACCGCTGCGATTGGGCCGGAGGTGGCGGAAGAAGAAGGCAAGGAAACGCTCGTCTGCGGGTCGGCAAGGGCTGTAATTAGCGGCTGGGCGGTAATTAATGAGCGGGACGGGGGGGGGGTGGAAGAGGAGGGTGGACCTCGTTGCTTTTCTGCTTTGGTTTGTGGTTAATTAGCGTCACCATCGTGTCACCATCATGTCACCATCGTGTCACCATCGTGTCGCAGTGTCACCGTGTCATGGTGTCACCCAGTAGGGACAAACTGTCGCCGTGTCACAGTGTCACCATGTCACGGTGTCACCCAGTAGTGTCACTATCGTGTCACGCTGTCACCATGTCACGGTGTCACCCAGTAGTGTCACTACCATGTCACGGGGTCACCATGTCATGGTGTCACCCAGCAGTGTTGCTGTCACTGTCACAGTGTCACCACGTCACGGTGTCGCCCAGTAGTGTCACTATCGTGTCACGCTGTCACCATGTCATGGTGTCACTTAGCAGAGTCACTGTCCCCATGTCACACTGTCACCATATCATGGTGTCACCCAGTAGCGACAAACTGTCACCATGTCACAGTGTCACCATGTCATGGTGTCACTCAGCTGTGTCACTGTCCCCATGTCACACTGTCACCATATCATGGTGTCACCCAGTAGTGACAAACTGTCACCATGTCACAGTGTCACCATGTCACGGTGTCACTCAGCAGAGTCACACTGTCACACTGTCCCAGTGTCACCATGTCATGGTGTCACCCAGCAGTGTCGCTGTGAGCATGTCACAGTGTCACCATGTCACAGTGTCACTTAGCAGAGTCACGCTGTCACCATGTCGTGGTGTCACCCAGTAGCGACAAACTGTCACCGTGTCACAGTGTCACCATGTCATGATGTCACTCAGCAGTGTCGCTGTCACCATGTCACACTGTCCCCATGTCATGGTGTCACCCAGTAGCGACAAACTGTCACCGTGTCACAGTGTCACCATGTCACAGTGTCACCTAGTAGTGTCACTATCGTGTCACGCTGTCACCATGTCACAGTGTCGCCATGTCACGGTATCACTCAGCAGTGTCATTGTCACCATGTCACCATGTCATGGTGTCACCATGTCATGATGTCACCCAGCAGTGTCGCTGTCACTGTCACAGTGTCACCATGTCATGGTGTCACCCAGTAGCGACAAACTGTCACCGTGTCACAGTGTCACCATGTCATGGTGTCACTCAGCAGCATCACTGTCACCGTGTCACACTGTTACCATGTCATGATGTCACTCAGCAGTGTCGCTGTCACCATGTCACAGTGTCACCATGTCATGGTGTCACTTAGCAGAGTCACGCTGTCCCTATGTTATGGTGTCACCCAGTAGCAACAAACTATCACTGTGTCAGAGTGTCACCATGTCATGATGTCACTCAGCTGTGTCACTGTCACAGTGTCACCATGTCACGGTGTCACTCAGCAGTGTCATTGTCACCATGTCACCATGTAAAACTGTCACCATGTCATGGTGTCACTCAGCTGTGTCACAGTGTCACCGTGTCACAGTGTCACTCAGCAGCGTCACTGTCACCATGTCACAGTGTCACCGTGTCACAGTGTCACTCAGCAGTGTCACACTGTCCCCATGTCACACTGTCCCCGTGTCACCGTGACACTGGGAACTGTCATAGTGCCACCACATCATGGTGTCACCTGGCAGTGTCACACTGTCCCCACGTCACACTGTCACTCAGCAGTGTCACACTGTCCCCATGTCACAGTGACACTGAGATCTGTCATAGGGTCACCACATCATGGTGTCACCTGGCAGTGTCACACTGTCCCCACGTCATACTGTCACTCAGCAGTGTCACAGTCCCCATGTCACGCTTTCCCCCTGTCACAGTGTCACCCAGCAGTGTCACACTGTTCCCATGTCACACTGTCCCCACGTCACACTGCCACTCAGCAGTGTCACACTGTCGCCATGTCACACTGTCCCCACGTCACGCTGTCACTCAGCAGTGTCACACTGTCCCCATGTCACACTGTCCCCATGTCACACTATCACTCAGCAGTGTCACGCTGTCACTCACCAGTGTCACACTGTCCCCTCATCACACTGTCCCCACGTCACGGTGTCACTCAGCAGTGTCACACTGTTCCCATGTCACACTGCCCCACGTCATGCTGTCACTCACCAGTGTCACACTGTCCCCAGGTCACACTGTCACTCAGCAGTGTCACACTGTCCCCGCATCATAGTGTCCCCATGTCACGCTGTCACCCAGCAGTGTCACACTGTCCCTATGTCGTGCTGTCCCCAGGCCTCACTGTCCCCAGGCCTCACTGTCACTCAGCAGTGTCACACTGTCCCCAGGTCACACTGTCCCCACGTCACGGTGTCACTCAGCAGTGTCACACTGTTCCCATGTCACAGTGACACTGAGAACTGTCATAGGGTCACCACATCATGGTGTCACCTGGCAGTGTCACACTGTCCCCACGTCACAGTGTCACTCACCAGTGTCACACTGTCCCCAGGTCACACTGTCCCCACGTCACACTGCCACTCAGCAGTGTCACACTGTTCCCATGTCACACTGTCCCCACGTCACGCTGTCACTCAGCAGTGTCACACTGTC